CACGAATGCACAGCTTAGTAAATGACTCCGTCGAAAAGAAAAAGTTTTCTTTCCTGCAACCATGTCTTGTCTTATGATTGAAATTACAAGTATCAATACAAAAATGGCAGACACTCATTGCACAAGTGGTGGCTGTTGTGCCCCAGTAGCCTAGTGGAGAGAGCTTTGGTGCTTAGAATGACAAGTACTAGGTTCGAGTCTCAGTGGGAAAGCAAGCCCTCAGTAAGTCGCAGGTATTGTGGCTGATATGTCTCAAGTAGGACGAAAAGCACCCCTTGAATTTCACTGCTAACCGTCAAATGGACTACATTACAAAGAATATCCAGGCAGTATCAAATCATCCGCATAGCAGCGCACTTTTGAAATGATGATGATAATGTTGAAATGCGTGGCTAGAAGAGTATTAAAATAAATTGAAAGAGTATCGTCATGGATAGAAACAGGAAAAGAGTTTTATAAAATGTGAAATTTAGGTTTCCGTTACCGAACACCTTTAGGCAGCACCAGCTTACAACGGTTAAATTCGGGATCTTTGAAGTAGACTATCCACTGGTTGATGTTTATAGTCACTACGTAGTCAGAACTATTCGACGATCAGTCAGTGTGATGATACACAGATCTTTCGTCAAATGGAATAGTTGACCATGGTGAATTTGTTACCGGTTAGCTTCTGGTGTCCACCTTCAACAAGAAGTTCATGAATCTCAACTGTATTTCAGCAGTTTGGCACTGAGTGAGCTTACGACTCACACAGTGAGCCCTTTGTGTGATTCAGTGCATAATGGGCTTCTATGAGTGTATTTCTTCAACGGTGAAATTTATTTCCAATTTATCTAGTAACCTTGATGATTTCTTCATTGTTTTTTCGAAGTTTGTTAAACAAACATCCGTCTTCGATGTATGTTGTAAATGATGGTCGTCAACTGTCCAATAGTAGCAAAAAAATGATTCGTAAATTTGTAGATGAACGATTTAGGTAACCTGCTTGATGAGACATTTCTGTACCACTTTTGTGCAGGTCACCAACAGATAAATCACAAAGTTGTATTAGTGTGTTCATCAACTGAGTGGAGACAAAAGGCGTTTTTACTGGATTTGGAAAGTTAGGTGTTTAAGGATTTCCAAATGAAATACCTCGCATAAAAAGTAATTAACATGAAAACAATTTGACAGTCAAGGTGTCATTTTCTTAAAAGAGGAAGCCATAGAATTTCAGATTGGCAATCATTATGGACTGATGTCAGTTGGAGTAAACTAGAAGCCTGGAGAGAGTAGACAGTTTGGTCCTAACATGGGACTCTTCAGCAGTGCGCAGATGTGACCACACCAGAAATCTATTTGAAATAGCACTCAGTGATAAAGTATTAGCTACTGGATTACATTCATACCAAAGTGACCGTATCACTTTCAAATGTCGGTCACATAGTCCAACAGATCTCCATTAGTTTGTTTTTAATGGTAGTAACATTTTCCATAAATCTGCAGTGTGTGGTTGATTACCCTCACCTAGTGTACTGGTTCACTAATTACTTGCTGGTCATAAGCCCAGTTAAAGAGAGAAAGTTGGGGATAAGGTTGGCAACCGTTCACCACAAATAAATCCAAACGCGAAAGAAACTTCAAAGCACAAAATAATACAAAAACAAAATTGTGCTTATTCCTCGATCAAGGCGGAAAGACAAAATGAAACCGGTTGTGAAAGCCTACACAAAGCCAATTCACCAATATATCTTCTCTCCCACTACAGAGGGCGAAAGTAAACTAAGTAACATGGAATGTCCGCACAATGTTTGAAGCTGGTGGCTGGCTGGCTGGCTGACAAGGCTACCCAGATTGCAAAGAAATGAGAAGATTTTGCATAGTAGTGCCGTAGTCTGTGAGGAATCAGCAGATGGAATGGAAGTGGACTCTCCAAACTGTCAACTGGAATATCCTTTAGTATCCACACGACAGCCCACCTGCCATCAGAAGTCAAGCAATTCGGCCCTGTATAGCAACAACAAGAACAAAAAAGGATGATCAAGGATCTTAAGATTCTCATCTCTATAACTTTCTGCTTATAATCTCGATTCTACACCTCTTGTACAATTGCTTCTGTTCTCTTATTTCTATCCAGGGTTTATTGAGAATATTGTTCACTAATGTAAGAATACTCTTTGGGGGGGGGGGGGGAATCAATATATCAGAAGTTTATTATGAAGCATGAGAAAGAATGTGTCTAATGACAGTGATATAGAAAATTGTTTTTGTTCAGTATGCATCATCTATTGGTACTTGTAATCTCCCTTTGTTATAATGGGTTGGGTTCCTATGCGGAGACGTGGATAGTTTTTGGATTCCATCATATCAGTCAGTATTCATATCTTAAAATATCAAAGTTTAGATGCTAAAAAAAACTATCAAAACATAAAGAGAATCAGGTTTATTTGACTATTAAGTTTAATATAGTACGGAATTTACTAATCCTATATTCGGCATGCTGCCATTTAAGCTCTATGTAGTATGTATGACTGATATTAATGGTCATTATTTCACCTAAACACTTTGTGAACTGGATTTTAATTGATCTGTACATTTATTATAATCGTTTTGTACTGGGTAATGATTGAAGGTGAAGTTAAAACTTGAACGGTGGCCGAATTTGAACAAGCGACCATCGGGTTTCCGGCACGATGCTCTGCTAACTAAGCTACGAGGTCCGACTCCTCACCAGATTCTCGTTTCACTTCAATCACTATGGGTTTTGCCCCACTACTATATGAATTCATGATGCGTTATTACCGATTGATCGTATTCACAATGGCTGCCCACCAGTCAGGACTTTTCATCCCAATCGAAATGTAACTGAATTAGAGAGGGGGAGCCATCTTATTGATTATCGTTTGACTACCTGAGATGACCGTAGTATGGTGGTGTGGCAAATTCCATGGTGTTTGAAGTGAAATAAGATCTGGTCAGCAGTCACACCTTGTAGCTCAGTTGGTAGAGCATCAGGCAGGAAACCTGGTGGTGACTGGTTCGAATCCGGCCGCGGTTCAATTTTTCATTTCACCTTCAATCATCATCCCGTATAAATACTAGCCTGCCAAACTACAGATCCCTCAGTCGGGCAAATCCCATGGTATTTGAAGTGAAATAAAAATCTGGTCAGCAGTCCGACCTCACAGCTGAGTTACTAAAGCATCGAGCCAGAAACCCGATGGTTGCTGGTTGGAATCTAGAGTGTCACAGTCAGCTTACATGGCAACATGTAGGATATCGGCATGGATTACATGACTGGGGATTTCTTTCGGTTCTATTAGTGATCCTTAATTTGTTGGTCTAAAGGAGAACACTGTTATAAATCCATGTGGTAGATATCTATAGCTATATGTGAGTGGACAGTTGAACAATAACTTTCGACTTCACCCTTGATGATCGCTCGGTTTCTCGAAAACACAAAGGAAACGGCAAAAAACAACAGGAAAAGTTTGTTGTCAGGTCGAATATGTACAAAAATGAAGGTCTTATACTCATCTGTTGATGACCTTGGAAAGTTCTGCAGTTTTCTAAGGATCTCTTCAACCAGTCTGAGTCTCGTACTTATGATCACGTGGTTTTTGACAAATGTACGACATACAGTGATTGCCTGTAAGGGTTTTTCAGAGATTTCTGAACTTCTTTGTGGAATCTGGAGGATACTTCCGCACTCCATAACATAACCAGCGGGAAACCTCAAATCAGCTTTTAACATGGATAGATATTGGTTAGAGAATCAGTATAACGCAGATGCTTCTTCATAGTTTAGGACTCCCTGGCGTTGCAAACTAAGGTCTCCATTGTAGATGGTACACATGACTGTTAATCGCACTGGAAGTCCGCCACTAGGTTGGAATCCAATCGTCCACATTTTTCTACTTCTATAAGTTCATGATATTAGTGGGATCTTCATCCAACGTTTATGATGAAGCAAGTCACTAATGACCACTAATTAAATTATGAGTTTCATGGGGATCTTATTGATTTCAAGTTGACGGTGTAACCTTAAGATCTTAGGTTCGATCTCTGACAAGGTCATGGGTATGCGTTGCAGAGGAGTCCTGTACTCTGAATTCCTCAGCTAGTCTCAGTCCATGATGAATACCAACTTGAAATAAATAAAATCCTCTCGAACCTATGAATTAAACTGCTCTTTTGTTGATTTAAGTCTGTTATGAAATGAATGCTTCTTGAAATTAATCAATTCCTTCATATTCAATTAATATAACAGAATGTCAGAAGAGTTTAGCAGTTTTTTTTAAATTCCCAAACAATCAAATTTAATAGCGTCAAGTTGTCTGTTGTTGTTTCATTTTTACTGAAAGAATATTCATTCGCTCTCTGCTCATTTACTATGATAAGCATCATCATGTGATGAGTTAACCAATAATCAATAAGGCTATGCTTTTATAGACATTCTTTGTTTGGTTGTATCTATCCGATGAATCTTATTTGTCAGTGAATATTAACTGATGTTTCATATTACCTCTTTAACCAATTACAAAAAATGAAAGGAGTCATGATAATAGAATAAGAGGGGGATATTCATTTTTATGCCTAAATTCATGTGTTTCATATGTAAACAGATTTACGCACTAGATTTGGTCTATAATTTTCAACCAATCAGCAACACAAGCATTCCGTTTACTTGTTTGTGATTGGTGCGCACGGGGAAGATAAATATTCAACTAGTAAATAGGTGATAATAGGTAGGGGGAGTATGAGAAAGAGTAGAAATTCATTTACTTTGTCGGAAATTAAAAGCAGCAACCATGGAATTTACGGATTACACGATTATACAACAAGTTTATACAGTTATTTCATAAGTTAAGAATAATGATTTCTTAGACAAACAATCATCAGCTGTCTTATTTATCAGAACTAAACATTCAAAGCAAATAAAAAGTTATAATTGACGTGTATGCGTAATACCTACTGTTCAGTGAAAATAATTGTATTCAGGGTGATAAATAAACGGAAAGATGACTACCTTAAATCCTCAAACGTGGATATCTTCAGGAAACTTCACACAGAATGGAATTATAAACCAGAGTAAATTGTTCAGTGGTTTCAATGAGATTAGTAATGCTGACCCTACCAGTCTTGCCAACAATGGTGTCAATGTCAATACTGTTAGTAATACAGATACTACTTATATTACTGATACTACTCCTCCTAACAATAATAATAATAATAATACTATAACTAACGTATCAGATGGAAACTTACAATCAAAGTCATTTTTTCTTGGTTCAAATCGAATGGAAACAAGTCCAACTGTCCTCCCACGTTTAACTAATCATAATCCCCCCGGGAAACAAAGTTTTCCTGACCAACTTCAAAATTTAACCAATACTTTGACTAATACAACAAAATCATTCAATTACTATGCACATAGTAAACATCTGAACAATTCAGAAACAATGAGGTGTAATGAATGTCGATTAATTATATTTGATCAATATTATTACAGTATCGGTGATCAAATTTGGCATCAAAGTTGTTTAAGGTGCTTTGAATGCGGATTCCTGCTGACAGAGAAATGCTACGCTAAAGATGGTCATTTGTATTGTCGTGAGGATTTTGTCAGGTTAGTTGGCTTTGAAAAAGATATTTTATTATGACGGTCGTTTGCATTATCATTACCATTACCATCGACCGTTACTACTACTACTACTACTACTACTACTACTACTACTACTACTACTACTACTACTACTACTACTACTACTACTACTACTACTACTACTACTACTACTACTACTACTACTACTACTACTACTACTACTACTACTACTACTACTACTACTACTACTACTGTTGGTAATAGTAATAGTATGTAGGAGTGAACTTCAGTAAAGTAATCGAATCGTACTCAAGTGCGAAATTTGACCGCTGACTGTCTCCTGTGGGTTGACTACCAATGTCTAACACTACAACTCACCTCGTTTGTGTAAATAATGAGTCTAAATAAAATGCCGTTGGGATTCACATTAAAAGTAGCTTTAAATACTTACCTTAAGTAAAACATCCCATTCTGCTAAGGAAACTGTGACATACACAGCGAAACAGCGTTTACAGAAGAAATCTTGTTTCGATTTTCTAAACACACTGCCAACATAATTATATAATGATTAAATTAGACTCGAGCATAGTATTTATTATGAGCTGATATGAATTTGAGAACATTGGGTAGGTGTTTCTTCTCAGTATGGCACTCCTCGGTAGTGCGCACTAATGGCCTCGTCAGGGGTCAAACTCAGGACCTTCGGGTCTCACAACCAGCTCGAAATCAATTAAATCCCCTTGAATCTGCAAACTGAATTATTGTCAAATGCTCATTAGTGACTTACTTCAAAATGTAACTCCCGAAGTTGTAATGAGAAGTCGTTTGTCACCGGCGAGGCAGATGAAGTCATACGTGAGGTCGGGTACTCAAGCAATCCATCGGATATAGGTCGCCTTGTATCGTGAATTGGTAGAAGTAGGAAACGTGAATCATTAGATTGAGATCTAGTAGTACGGTCTCTGAGTAACCTGAAAGTCTTGTGTAGAATTCCCAACGGGGTCCTATGAGTACGTACTGCTTGGGAATGGCAAACTAGGATGAAGCAGCTTTCCAATGTTCTCAGGTTTCCAGTGATGAATACCAAATTGAAGTAAATTAAAAGAGATAGGTAGGATTATTGTTGCCGTTTATAAGAATAAACTGTTCGATTGAAAAGTTTCTGGGAGGGGAGGAGGTGTATTGATTGATTTCAAAGTACCTTTAATACAGAAACTATGACATTTAAGTGACCAGGAAGCCGTGAGCACCTATTTCATCCTATTTTGAGACTGTGAGCCAGATTACTCCCTCAACACTAGATGGGGTCGAACCAAGAACCACAGAGCCCCTATTAGCTTGAAAATTCAATGGTTTATGTTTTCCTAACTCCTCTGAACTCAAGATGTAGCACAGTCATTAGCCAATGTTATCAATGAGTAACTATCTTCACAATTAAGTTGACTGTTATTATACAGATTATGGTTCCCCATTAGAACTTCACGGATTTTTCAGTGACTCTTCAGCTAATATCAATTTATGGTGAATACTTTGAAGTTAAATTTAAAAAATCACATTGAACTGAGCATATCCGAAGTATAATGCTCATTGAAACCACATAACAACGTGTTGTCTGTAGTAATCCCATCGTATACTATCCTCTCAGTTACACTTTTTCAAAGTAACTGCATGAAATTTTATTTGTTGTCATACTGGATCTATTTGGTTGACGTGTGTTAGCTTGTGGGTTCCTATGCGGCCCCCCCATATATTATCATCACTCACTGGGGTGCAGGTACGTTTGACTGACAAATCCCGAACAGGACGGGATGTATCTCCTTGATTCTATTCCTAGAAAGTAAATTATATCATTAAAGATAGTGTTACAACTGGATTTCTTATGAAACTGGATGGCAAACAGATACGTCAGTTTTACCCCCAATTCACTTTAATGGGAATGTGTATGAAGCTTTCAGTAATTGACAGAAATCATCAAATTGGCAAAATATTTGGTAGGGATTAGTAGAGGACTCTGGAAATTAGGCGTTCACTTCGACTTTCGACGTGGTGATCTGTCCATATCCTGGAGAGTGTAACAGTTCCCACTGGGAATCGAAGACAGTGCCTGCTGCTTTAAGCTCTAGAAGAAAGCCGTCCATTAGTCTCCTGAGGTTTTATGGCCATGTTGACAACGCTGAACAGCAAGAATTTCAAAAGATCCTAATGTTTTACCGAGCAGTACCGAAATATCCTGCTGATTGACAAGGCCAGTCTGATTTTATTTAATGACGTTAGATGCCTTCTTCATTCACTTGAGATTCAATTCATGCTGTCTCAGAAATAAAAGTCCATCTTGTCCCCCCCGACGTCAGTGAAAATCTGAGAGCACTTGAAAGCTATTTTGTCTTAGGTATGCGACTCCTCAGCAGTGCACACCCATAAGACCTTGTCACAGCTCGAACCCAGGACTATTAGGTTTTGCCGTGAGATGGCATATGTAACAAGATAAAGGAAGTTAGAAAATCAAAACCACATTTCCGAAAATCTCTAGTTTCAATTCTACGTCTAGTCTGTTATATTCCTACCAATCTTCGGGTTGCATCATCGCCATATTGCCCTTCACTATAGTTGATAGGACTATAAAACTCAGACGAGTGAATTTAAAGGCCACCCCAACAACTGCTGAGACAGCCAATCGCGTTGCTTTATTTTGCGAGAAACTACCATCCCAGCCGAAATACCAGAAGCTGATTGGCTATTTCAGTAGTTGTTAGCGTGGTTTTCAAAGTCGCTCAAAGAGCCATTCAGGTTTCTATATTTTATGATAACACAGCTTTCTAGACGTAACATGGAACCTGATTGCCTGTTTCGCCGACCTTTAAAGTCGGCTGGAAGTTATAGGGTTACTTTGATATGAATGTGAGTAGGAAATTCGCCTCGAAACGTCATCCAGTAAATAATACTGTGTGCCATAACAAACAAAAAATCTAATATGAAAGGACATCCTGCCAGAGAGTGAGGGGTATTCTGATTTACAATAAGATTATCCAGATCCTCATATAAGTCGTATATCCCTGAAACTTTTCACAACCAACCGTGTTGCTAGTACAGGACTCCTCAGCAGTGCACACCTGCGAGACCCAGCCAGGGATCGAACCCAGGAGCTTCTAGTTTTCTAGCAAACTCGCCTTCATCGAGGTGCTCTGTCAGAATCCAACGATCTGTATTTTTCTACTTCCGTCAGTTTTTCAATATACCACAACCTCTATCCAGTCTCGTCGTTGAGTACCTGTCCTCAAGTACAACTTGGTTTTCTCCATCGGTGACGGCTTCTCATTAAAACTTCAGGAAATCTCATTTCGAGGGAAGCCAATGGTGAGTATTGAGCAATAGTTCAGTTTAGAGATTTGTGGGGACTTATCGATTCCATGTTGGCATGCCTCACAGACTGATATCAGGTCACGAACCAATGACCTTCAGGTTTTTTGGCGACCATGTTATCATTGAGCCAGCTGTTCATATTCCATAAGTTCAATGCCTCTTTTACCGCTAAATTTAAAAGTTGAGAGTCTTAGCTGCTCTAGACTAAAGGTCAACTTATGATTCCCCCTGTAAACTATGTTCGGACAAAAATACAGAGAAGTTTAAGACAGTGTTGTCGGCGTTTCAGAAGTGATAAGGACCTATGGCTGTGTTGTGTGTGTGTGTGCATGTTCCCTTGTCATATTGGATTCTTCAAGTCAGTATTCATCATGGACTGACATCAGTTGGAGGAACAAAGGAAATATGGGAGCACTCAAAAGCTGTTTCATTCCACTAGTATGAGACTCCTTAGCAGCGGGCACCCATCAACCCACCAGCCATCAAACCCAGTGCTCATTGGTAACTAGTTCCGAGAGGTCATTCCTTGAGTTCTTATGAGAAGTGGTGACCAGTGGGCCATACATCGTAGCCGTGAAGATAAATACTCAATGATGACATTAGGTGATGGTAACGCTATGTTGTGAACTGACAGAAGTTGGAAATATGGACCATTGAATTCCGTCGGACCCAGTGGCTCAATGATAACCTGCTGGCCGTGGAGTCTGAAGGTTGTGGATCCAAGCCTTGAAGTGCGAAGTCGTGGGTGCGTACTGCTGAGGAGTCCCATACTAGTGGAATGAAACAGCTATCCGGTGCTCCCATGTTTCCTTTGTTCCTCCAACTGATGCCGGTCCAAGTTGAAAAATCACTAAATCCTCACAAGCCTGCCCCCTTCCCGAAGTTAAATTGGATTCTATCTTCTAGTTTAAAGTGATTTACTTTTTTACAAACTATTCACCTTGATTTCACTCCACTTGGATAATTGTTGATTTCTTTCAGATAACTAGTTCATTGTGAAAATAATTTGTAAGAAATAAGCGTCGATATACATGGCGACACTTCATAGGTGTGTTCTTGTATGGTGTGTGTGTGTGTATCGTTTAACATTTGAGGCGGAAGTAAATTACCATTAAAATGAAACTGTTTACAATTAATACTAGGCTGGTATGACATTTCAATACACTAATGTATACACTTAATTCACTGTACGTACATATACAGAATTTGGTGATGACAACAAAGTCAGTAGGTTGGTTATGGATACTTATAATTTCTGGTCGAATTACACGACATCTGATGGCAGATGGGCTCGTATGCAGATGTGGATGCCTTGATACTATCGAATATTCATCATGTTACATTCTTCTTGTTGACTATCAGTAGAATCGAAGACGTACGTTTCGCCATCTTTGTGACTCATCAGTTTGATGTATCTGCCTCCTAGTGGCCTAGTGGGTAACATTTTGCTGTTTGAAGCGATCGGTAGGAGGTCCAGCTATCAGTGAGAAGAACATCATTCACTGAGTTGAAGGTACAATCATCTGTTGACTTTGAAGTAGGAGGAAACGCGCAACCTGGATACGATGCTAAACACAGCCGTGTCGATTATAACAATAAATATCTAGATAATATCGAGGCCTTCGTATAGAAGTGCATATACCAAAGTAGATCGATCAGTTTCATCAAGTGTAACGACAGAATTTTCTTAGCAAATAG